CCAAGGGGTTCCCAGGTTTTTTCTGAAACCATCCTGCTCTTCATTTCTTCTGGCACAAGAGTATTCCATCACAACCATATACTATAACTTGTTTAATCATTCCCCAATTGATGGGCATCCCCTCGATTTCTAATCCTTGCCACCACAAAAAGAACTGTTCTAAATATTTTTGTACAAATAGGTCTTTTCCCCTTTCCTTTGATCTCACAAAGTACCATCTTCTGATGACTAGGCCCTTCTTTATTATATTGCCCAAGGTATAGGTGCAAATACAAAGAAATAGCAAAAGGAAAAACAAAACAATTTTTAAAAATACTGTTTACCACTATAGGTCTTCCCTAGGGTTACATATATGTGAGAGAATTTTATTTCTTTCTCTACCTTTTTTTTTGGGAGAGGGTGTGAAGCTGGACTCTCTTTCTATTTCTTGATTTGAGAGCCAGAAAAAGGATTGCAAAATTAGGAGATAGGCATGGGCTTTCTGAAAAAGCTATATATCACTCCTAAGTAACATCATCCTAGGGCTCTAATAGATACTTCAGTTAGCTAACAACAAATGAAGAACACAATTAGGGGAGAGAGATCTGGGAAGGGAGTGGAAATAGTTGTGTGGAGCTAGTGAAAAATAGCTTCCACAGGCTCTCAGTCTTCCTCTGATAAATGTGAACCCAGTGAAGTAAAGCTTTGTATAGTCATCTTTGAGGAAGTTGTCCTGGTGACAACTTGCCCTACCTCCCTTCATTCTCTTTTTCTCTCTGATTTTTTGTATTTTAAAACCCTGACTTCTCTACTGCTAGCTTATCCTGGAACTTCCTTCAGTACCTGGGGCCTCCTTACAACAACAGTAACAACAACAGCAGCAGCAGCAGCAGCAACAACAACACAGCGACCTCTTTACCCAGCAACTGCTTACCATCCCTGTTCTTGACTTTGTGGACTTCAAAACCAAGCCCTGACCTTAGATTCCTTCCTCCTCTTCTTTCTGCCTCCCCTCCATCTTTTAAGCCCTCTTTTGCAAGATGAGAATGTAAACTCTTTAGGGGCAGGGATTAGCTTTCTTTTTTGCTTATATTTGTATTCCTAGCATTTAGCTATACTTGGCATATAGGAATTGTTCAACATATTCTTCCTTTTTTCTTTCCTTCCTTCTTCTCCCAAACCAAATCTAATCAAACAAAACTATCCACCCATAAAAGAGTAATTAGATTAAAAACTACCTCTTCTGCCTTGGAAGGAGAGATGATAACTAGTGGGTTCTCAAAGTTCCCAAGAGGCTTAAATCACTTTTTAGCTTTTGAGGCTCACAGCACTAATTTAAAAAAAAAGTACAGATCCACAGCTGAGATATAGTTTGAATTTTTAAAAACTTTTCAAATGCTTTTTTAAAAAAATCCTTTTTGTATGGGTGGTGGGTGGGAATCTACCTTTTGTGGAATGTTGAGGCCGGTTGAGACCCATCTAACATAACTTTGTTGTAGTGCAATAATTTCTGACTCTTTGTGACCGCATTTGGGATTTTCTTGGCAAAGTTACTGGAGTGGTTGGCCATTTTCTTCCTCAGTTCATTTTACAGATGAGGAAACTGAGGCAAACAGGATTAAATGACTTGCCCAGGGTCACACAGCTAGTAAGTGTCTGAGGCTAGATTTGAACTCAGGAAGATGAATCTTCTTGACTCTAGGCCTGGCATTACATCACTTAGCTGCCCTTTAGCCCACATTAAATGATAATAGCTTTTTAACCTGCTTACATTTGAGATTTCCATTGAACTTGAGGGCCAGGTCAAATGGCTTCCTTGCCCTCTTAGAAGAAGAAACAGGATAAAGTGGAAAGAACTCTGGATTTAGAATTAAAGGACCTGAGTTTGAAGCCTAATTCCCTTTCTTACTAGCAATGGCTCACCAGGTGAGCCATTTATATTTTCTAAGCCTTAATTTCCTTACTGTACAATTAGGGAGGTGGACATGAGGATCTTGAAGTTGTCTTGTAGCTTTAAATCCCATGATCCCTCTAATTGGCCTTGTTGCCAGCTGGCACATTTTTGCCATTGCTGGTAGCTAGGGATGGATGGGCCAAGGCTGATGGAAACTAATGTGTATGGTGTTCAGGGTGACATTAGATCACTGGTGTCACGACTCATTTGGAACCAGCCATGGGAGGCAAGAGCCAGTTTCAGAGAGATGAGGTAACATGATTCCTCTGACCTGAACAAAGTCAGTTTCCAGTTTCTATGGACTGGCTTAGAAGAAACTATAGCAAGGATATATGTACCCACAAATGACTTTAAAAACAGCCACCAAGGAGAGGAAAAAAGAACTGAGCCATGGTATAGGATATTATACAGTGATATTAGCTGGAATCTGGCCTGACAGAGCTCAGAAATAGCTGCAGCATTGATCTGGGACCTTCTAAGCTGTTTGTAAAAACTGTTGTCACCCCTCTGAGCTCTGTGCATTGATTTTGTGCACGGCAGATAAACAACTTTTTTTTTTAATGGAGTTTTATTATGGCTCCTGAGCTAGAGGGAAGGAAACCCTGATAGGGATTGGAGAATTTCTGTTTAATAAGAACCAGGTAGGGAGGATGCCTGGGGAAAGTGATCTCTGTAATTCTACAAGTATAATTTTAGAAAATAGGCACTTGCAGACTTCCTTATAAGGCTAATACATCTAGACTGTCTATTCCCAAAGACAGTAAGAGGGTAATATCACTTCTCTTCCTTTGTAAGCCCTAAAGACCCTTCCTTTATATTCCTCTTAGATGAAAATCCTACAGTATATCCATTATCTATCAAATTGAAAGCTTTTGGTTGTGACTTCCCTGAGCCCACAAAAGGGAGTTGCCCTGGAGTAAGCCTGTTCTATCTTTTACTTTCCTTACTTCTCCTAATGGATAGCTGGTGTTAGCCACCGTCAACACAACCTCATTCTGTGTTCAGCCAGCACTATGCTCCTTTTTGTTCCTCTTTCCTCCCTTCAGGTGGGCTATACTTACTTTTCTTCCAGAGAAGAGCTAATGTGAAATAATCATCCCTTCCCTTGTCTTACTCCCCACTGGTCTTGGATTGTTGGCATCAAACTCCCACTCTCCCTGATACATAGATAGTAAATAGTAATAACAATTTGCATTTGTATAGCACTTCTGGGTTTCCTGAGTTCTTTCCTTTACAACAGACTTTGAAGTAAGTAGCATGAGTATTGTCCCTCTTTGCAAACAGGAAACCGAGGCTTGGAGTAGTTACAGGGTCATAGTTCTAGAGTGGGAAGGAGCCTCAGAGGTCATCTACTCCAACTCCCTTATTTACAGATGAGGAAACTGAGGACCAAGGAAATTAAGTGATTTGCCCATAATCACACAGCTAATAATTACAAGAGCACAGATTTGAACACAGGTCCTCTAACGAAAGATCCTATATTATTATTCTTCCCATAGTACCACATTAAGTGGCTTTCTCAATGTTGTACTGCTAGTGTCTAATCTAAGATTAAAATCCAAGTCTGTATTTTCTCCAGCATTTTTAAATCAATCCATCAATAAACATTCATTAAACACTGTGCTAAGCACTGGGGATACAAAGAAAAAGGCAAAAGATAGTCCCTACCCTCAAGTTGCTTATATACTATTGGGATAGATTACATTCTAACAACTATGTGCAAGCAAACTATATACAGGATAAATGAGACATAATCAAGGCAGGGAAGGCTTTGGAATGAAAGGAGATCATGAAAGGCTTCCTGAAGAAGGTGGAATTTTAGCCAGGACTTGAAGGAAGCTGGAAAACCAGGAGGTAGAGATGAGGAGGGAGATAATTCTAGACATTATGGGGACAGCCGGTGAAAATGCCCCACGTTGGGAGGTAGAGTGTCTTAGATGGGGAACAGTAAGGAAGTCAAGTTTATTGGATCACAGAGTACATGGGGGAGGTATAAACCACATTTCCTCTATTTTAAAATAAAATAAAGTCTGATTGTGATGAACAATATTCTTTAAATGGGACTACAGAATTGGCTATTTCGGGTGGTTAATATCTTGGTCCCTTTTTTATTTATCCTGTTGCTGAAGATAGTGCTGCAAATATTTGGAAATTATGTGAACAAAGCAAACACTTTTCATTGGAGTTATTCAAGCTAAAGCTAAGTGGTCAGTTATTCAGGCTAAAGCTGAATGATAGCTTGTTGGATATGCTCTAGAAATTAACTTTTTTTAGGTATGGGGTGGGGCTAGGTTGCACCTGAAATCTCTTCCAGTTCTGTGTGGATACTGGCTACCAAGGGTCACCCCAAAGAAAAATTCATGAAGAGAATTCTCATAATATCTTTCTTTCTCTTTTTGGAGGCAATCGGGGTGAAGCAACTTGCCCAGGGTCACACAGGTACCATGTGTCTGTGAACTTTGGTCCTCCTGATTCCAGGCCCAGTGCTCTATACACTTCACCAGCTAGCTGCCCCTGAATTTCTTATCATCTTTAACTTTGAAGTGGTTGCCTAGTAGAGTAAAAAATAGGGAAAACTTAGCTGATGTGAAATTTTGTAATTAAACAAGACTGAGATGTAATTGGGCAGTCATTAGATGCTAAAGAAAAGAATGTTAGAAATGCAGAAATTTGAACTGATATGCTCCAGACCTGAAAGTGATTCTTGGAAAAATAGCTTGACATAATTTTCTTTTTGGGAAGACCTAAGTTCAAATCTTGCTTCAGAGGATAGCTAGCTGTGTGACCCTGGGCAAGTCACTTAAATTATCTTTGTCTCCATTTCCTCGACTATAAAATGGGGATAATAATAGCATCTATGTTCCAGGGTTGTTTTGAAGATCAAACAAGATAATATTTGTAATGTGCTCAGCAGAGTCTCTGTGCTAATAGGCAGTAAATAAATTCTTGTTTCCTTCTTAATCCCCTCTAAAAGCATATTTGCTATGGCCATCTGACTTGAAAGCTTTTTAGCCCTAGCTTAGGTTCATCAGTCTTTGAACTTATCTGTGCTCTCATTAATTTCTAGGATACTGGGGTTGGAAAGTCAAGCATTGTTTGCCGATTTGTGCAGGATCACTTTGACCACAACATTAGTCCCACAATTGGGTAAGTACTCTAGGATATATTTTTTTCCTTTCTATTTTTCTTCCCCTAGAATCAGAGCTAAAAGGACCTTGATGACTCATTCATTTCCTTGATTTAAGATTCCCCCACACTATCATTGCCCTTCAACTCATTGTGCATTTGTTTTATAAATATCCTGTATTTACTTATCTGTAAACATTTTGTACCCTCCTAGGAGAATGTAAGCTTTTTTTGAGGACCAGGATTGTTTTATTTCTCAGGTATATGCCTGGTACGTAGGTTCTTAAAAAATGCTTACTTGTTTGCTTGTTTGTTCTCAGCTGGCCATGAGTTGTAAAATGAGTGAATGAATGAAAACACACTTATTGAGTGCTTTTCTTTATTGAGTGCATCTATTAATGTGCCAAGCATTGTGCTGAATTATGGGATTATACATCTGAGCAGGGATGCCAGTTCCTTCTCTTAAGGAGCTTACATTCTGATAAGGGAAGATGACAGATAGAGGGGTACGGAGACCAGGGAAGTCCCAGGGATGGTCGTTGGAGCCATAAGACATCTGATTGACATGTCCTTTCCAGGAATGCTGGTATTGATTTGATTATGTTCTCAGAGTTGGAAGAATTTTGAGAGAGAGAAGGGTACACACAAATGGCATAAAGATGGATGAGAAATAGAGTGATGGGACTGTGCTATATAAAATAAATGCTGACCAGTCAGAAGCCTAGGGTCCTGGAGGCAACTAAGAAGGGTGGGGAGGGGAGGGTTGCTTGAGTTTTAAATTGGAGGTAGAAGTTAGAGTGCAAGAAAGTGAAACCTTCAAGATGACTGGGAAGAGAATGAACCAGATGAGAATCAATTCCATTTTTAGGCTTTGTGAGAGAGATTTCCCAGAAGTAAATTTTCACTGCCCCAAATATCCTTCTGTCTAGTCTGCATCCCTCATGTGCTAGTTTAAAAGGCCATTTCCTCGTTTACAAGTGGATGGCTCCATATAGCACACCCTTGGTTTTTTTTTCCAGGCAAAACCTGATATCCAGAAAAACAAAAACAAAAACAAAAAAACCCAACAAACTGCTTAACAAGTCCTGTACTAAGAGCAAACGTGAATAAACTTATCCATGCATGCTTCAGATTTCTTTGGATATCCTGTGGAGCAGACTGACTCAACCATTTCCTCTCCATTTCTGGATTAATCCTATGCCAGCAATTCTTTTCTCCTTATATTTGGGTGTGCTCATATGCGGAAGGGTGTTGGTGGGTTTATTTTAACTCCTGAGATACTCCTGTTCTTTGAATTCAAGGTGATCTTAATTTCTTTCCTATATGGCCCTCTGCAGATGTGCCTCCAATATGCTGACCTTCTTTTCAGTATGTTCTTAGGCAAGTAAAGCAGGTGATTTTATACATATACAACATACATGTACATATGTACATAACATGTACATATAATATACATAATACATACATAACACACATGCATATTATATGCACATAATGCATATATAAACACAAGATAAAGGAAAAAAAGAAATGCTCACCACAGTGAATTGTACATTCTAAGTGTTTAATAAATTCTTGTTGAATTTGTTGAATTTCTGACTCTTTGTGACTCCATTTGGGGTTTTCTTGGCAAAGATACTGGAGTGGTTTGCCATTTCCTTCTCCAATTCATTTTACAGGTGAGGAAACTGAGGCAAATAAGATTAAGTGATTTGCCCTGGGTCACATAGCTAGTAAGTGTCTGAGGCCAGATTTGAACTTAGGAAGATGAGTTTTCCTAACTCAAGGCCTAGCACTCTATCCACTTTGCCACCTAACTGCCCTTGTTGAATTCATTTGACTTGAATTTCCTCCCTGATTTGTGTAATGGGAACTTTTTTTCCCACATTGCTATCTAATTGATAGTTTCTTTTATAATTACATAGTTTACTGCTTTGAGCTCCAGGGTGGTGCTTTTATAATAATTTTGCTTTGGGAAGAGACCCTAAAAACTTCATTATTACCATGATTTTTAAATTGCTTTGTTTTTTATATTATTCTTCCTTCCTCCATTCCTTTTCTCTCCCCCTCCTCCCCCCTTGCCATATTTAGATTACTCTTACATGGGCACAAAAGCCATTTAAGTGACAAGTGTGGCTAGTAATCAAGTCTTTCAAGACCCCTGAGGTGTAACTGCTTTTTCCCACCATCTCCTTAGGTGCTTTCCACTGTCCCTGTCCTTTTCCACGCTTTCTGGACATGTTCAAGTTGTCTGGTGAACTACACAGCATGAACTCAAACCTGCAATTTCCCTGCCTTTTAAAAGACATCTTGTCAACTGTAGTCTCTTTGCTTGTTGCTCTCACAATTTCTAATCACATGGCTCTGGTTTGTGACAATCTGAGGGTTGCTCCTGACTGCACTTAGTTCTGGACTCATTTTCTGCCTCCATCTTACCCCTCTTTGTCTCTATTCACTTCTTTTGCTCAGTCTGTCTATAATCTTAATTTCTTCCCTTTTTTCTGGAAATCTGGATGAACCTGAGTTTTCTGGAAATGCATAGATTATTCCAAAGCATCACTTTAGCCAATGCAGGAAGAATTCCCATTATAACAAACCCTATCTTCTATATTCTTTTTTAGGGGATGTGGGATTTTATTGCTTTGAGGAATTCCCAGTATAGAAACTTCCTCAACTGACATAGTTTAACAACTCCTCTATACATTCTAGTCTTTTAGAGTTGCCCAGGGCACTGAGAGATTAAAATGTCTTATTCCTAGTCGCAGAACCAGATGTATCAAAGGCAGGACTTGACCTCAGATTTTCCTGTTTCCATGACTGGCCCTTCCTGCTACTCATTATGCCATACTGCTCCTCAATCTTATGTTATATTGATTGTATTTCAGGAGGAGTGTGAGACCTTGGAAATGTTAAACTATTTTAAAAGTGCTGTTTGACTCCTTCTCCTATCTGAAGTGCCAGTAATTAGCTAAATAAACTCTTTTCCCCTGTCTAACTATTGCTAATGACACTGTGATGATCTAGCGTTATGTCCTGGGTCTTGCTGCTGACTTTTGAGCAGTTTCACAAGGATTTCCTTTCCTAGGAGAAAGCCTTAGTCCAGGAGAATATTTATTGGGTTCTAGGGCTTTCTTCTATCACTATTTTCTCCGTTTCCTTGCTCCTTAAACCCCAGTGTTAGGCATTGAATCTCCCAACCTTCTTGGTCTCTGAGCCTGCTTGGCTCTATGGGTTTTGAGCTCTCTTGTACTGTTGTTATGGAGGATAGAGCACTGGATTTGGAGTCAGAGGATCTAAGTTTGAGATCTGGATCTGTTCTAATCATTCCCTAGTTGTGGGACCTTCTGCAAGTCATTTTAATGCTTTTAGGTCTCAGTTTCCTGTCCTTTGAAATGAGGGGATTGGACTGAATTTTTTCAGTGCTTCGTCTAATTCTAAAACCTAGTTACCTGTCCCCCATAATTTGTTGTGGTTACCATGTGTGACTGTAATTATACTTTTCTTTCTTTTCTTATTCCTGATATTATACACTATAGATTACCAAAAATGTTTTCTAAAGAGCTTATTGATAAGGGAAGGGAATACATACAAATTCAGAAACAAGTTTATCAGTATAAAATAATTAGAAGTTTATATAGAAGAAAGCTTCCCAATCCTAGACTTCTTCCTTCCCTTTCTCTTTTCTCCCTTTATCTCTCTTTCTTTCTTTCTCTTTCTTTTTCTTTCTTCCTTCCTTGTTCCCTCCTTCCCTCCCTCTCTTCCTTCCTTCTTTTCTTTCTTGTAATGTACTATGCATGATTTTTTTTTATTGAATTAGAACAACTTTGGAAGGAACACAATATTGGATGCCTTTTAGCTTCTAGATTCTATTTAGAATTTTGTTTATAATACTGGATGAAGTCTAGTGTTGTCAGTATGTTTTGTAAGACTGGGAAAAACATCTTATCTGAAAGCTGTTATGCTTCAAGAAACTTCCTACTTTTACATTTTATTTACTTTAGCAGAGTAATTGAAAAACACCTGAAATTATAATTAGCTTTCTAGAATCCAAGAGATAATGTTCCAGTTTGCAGATTCTTACTCTTCCTCCTAGGCACTCATTACTTTGTTATTTTAACATAGGAAGGCAAGAAGTGATAAAATTCAATTTTGCTGTTTCTACCAACTCTCACAGAAAGAGGTTGAAATTAAAGCTTAGTTAAAATTAGGTTTCTGACCAATCAGACTTTCTAAACTAATTTTAACTAAAATGTTCCCCACTTAGGTTGCTCCTCATTATCCTCTTGACAGAGAATTTGCCCTAAGGCATTCTGTTTCCTTTTTGTCATCAAATTGGATGGTTTCTTCATAGGAAAGGGAATAAACTTTTATGTAGCACCTACTCTGTTCCAGGCACTATGCTAAGCACTTTACAAATATTATCTCATTTCATCTTCACAACAATTCTGGGTAGTTGGTTCTGTTATTACCCCCATTTTACATTTGACCAAACTGAGGCACAGAAGGTTAATTAACTTGCCCAGGGTCACACAGCTAGTAAGTGCAACTGAATTTGAATTCAAGTCTTCATGACTCCAGGCCCAGGGTTACTACCTGCCTTCTTCACTCTCAAAATACCCCATGTCAAATTTGGATTTGCTTATCTAATTGCTGTGGACTGAATTTATTTGCCAGTTCTACAAATCTAGGCTAATTCTGAACCAATCAGGAAAACTCTTCATTTGCCTGGCAGATTTCTGCTTGTTCCACCCACATTCTTAGCTAATCACTGGCTACCTCTCAAAGACAGATTAGATAGACAGGCCCTTAGTGAGGAAATACTGCTGAAGCAGTCCTGCCATTATCTCAAAAATCATATTACTGAAACAGTTCCAACAATCCACAGAGACAAACTCATCTCTTCTGGGCACAAATGATTCAGGAAATGATAGAAAGTCAGGGAGAACAATAGGAGGCTAGATAATGGAAACTAGATTGTGCAGTAATAAGTATGGTGTTATGGTTCTTTTATCACTTGTACT